TATGTTAAACAACGGTCTACTAATAACTTAGTCCATAAACAAACTAGTCCATGACATTTACTAGTCCATAAACATCACTTAGTCTCATTCGAACATTAACTACGTCCATAAACATACCTAAGTCCCATCTCATAACTAGTCCATCTCTACAACTAGTCCATAAACCATAACTAGTCCATAGGAACGATAACTAGTCCATCCGTTACAAACTACGACAAGAGGAGAAGTCCACTTAGGGGGGGCGGGCGACAGAGAAGACCACTGTAGAGAGGAGTAAAGGGGACTATCACTCGTTACGTGATAAATTAAAGGACAACGCCGTCAAGTCGTCAGACTCAGGACTCCGTTGTCGAGTGGACGACCAACTCAAGCCATTGTACAAGGATCGTCAGTTGCACTAAAGAGACATTTGTCAAGGTTGGTCGTCCTCCCCTTTAGGTAGGTATCCCACTTTGGTGATCGAGGGACTCGCGAGTAGATCTATCCCTTGTTGTACCTTGAATTTGTAATTTTCTTCACACCGTGTAGAAGTACAGAGGTCCACCACCAAGCCCTATCCCCTGTGTCCTCATTGGTCATGTGCGCGTTCGTGTGTGTTGGAGGAGGGGCTCTGTGAGGAAGTCTGAACGAAGAGGCAGATTTTTTCCGGTTGTGTATTTTCAAATTCTAGCGCACTCGAGCTGGTTTCTCCATTCTTACCTACCCTACCTTTAACTCTTTTTAGGGTGCAGCTATAAGTTTTATTTATTTCAAAGTGGGCCCATTTTAATAATATTTTTTTTCCTTCAAATGTTCAGAGGACTCCCTCAAGTGCTGTGTTTAATTTATTTTAAAGTAGGCCTGTGTATTATTTTTAATTCTCCTTATAGGAGTTCTTTGTTTCTTATTAGAGGTTAACAGTTTTATATAATGTAATCAATAGCCTAATAAAAGAAAAAAACCTGTAGTTTTTGTCTGATATAACAATAAATACAACTTTATTAGCTATCAAGCTATGAAATATGTTTTGCGGCTCCAGACAAAAAAATTTTTTGGAAAAAGGAGCAAAATGGCTCTTTTGGTCAAAAAGGTTGCAGACCCCTGCACTAGGACCATCGTCAGGCAAATTATCAAATGGATGTTACCTGTTATTGTTAACATGTCTCACTTGTACCTTTTGTTTCCATTTGGTAGGCTCTAATGTAAATTACTTTGTTGCCTGTCACCATTTCTTCTATGTTTGTTAATTTCTTACCAGAATGTGATTAATTGTGGAGTTTCCACAACAGGCAGAACCAGCACAATACAAAACAAAGAGACGCAACATTAAGTGTTAGCTTTCAACCCATGGCATTGTGCTTCTCACCTAGGAAAAACATTGAAAAAGATTCCAATTATGTTTCCTCCATCAGGGCTGGTTTGCTGGCAGGAACCTGGCGGTCTCCCAGGTCACCACCAAGTACTTCCTGTGGGTAGACGATGACTTCCTGTTTACCAAGTGGACGAAAATCGAAGAGATGGTGAAGGTGATGGAGGCGGTCCCAGAACTGGACGTGGTAAGACTGTTTCTAAAGGGGTCAGCATGTGTTAAACACTTGTTGTGTCTACGAGCTGTGAAGCATGTGAGACTTCCATACCCCTTTTGCACCGAAGTAGTTCCATGGCCTGTTTTGGAGATGGTGCCCAACAACTATTTAGTGTTTCCAAAGCAGGTACACGATGAACTGGTAGTCAGATTATAAGCAGTTCTCTTGTCTCTCTGTTCCTTTCAGCTCGGTGGTAAAGTAGGAGAAGAGCAGTTTTATTTCTCTCTCATCTATGAGGAAGGAGACGAAGAAGGTGGCTGCATGTACAGGAAGTCCAGAGGGAAGTACCACTCTCTTCCTGGTTACCCACAATGCTCATTGGTCAGTGGGGTGATCAACTTCTTCCTGGCTCGTACCGATGCCGTACAGAGGGTGGGATTCGACCCTCAGCTCAAGAGGGTAGCACACTCAGGTAGGTCTAGATGGTTTGCAGTCCAAGTGGAGGTGGGTCCAAACTCTTTCAGTTGTTTCTGTCCATGATCAACCTTTTTTCCTAAATGGCAAATGTCTGTCATTTCTTCTAGAGTTCTTCATGGATGGCCTGGGCTCCTTGATGGTGGCAACATGTAGCCATGTGGCCATTGGACATCAGAAAGGACCTATACAGAAGGGCTACATGAGGTTCAGAGAACCTGCAAAGAGTGATGAGACCTCAAAGCTGCAGCTCCACTTCTTTAAAAACCACCTGAAATGTATACGCTATGGATAGAAGACCACTAGAGCAGGGGTTCCCAAACGTTTTTGTTTTTGCCGACCACTATTTATTATCAAGGATTTTCGTGGACCACCTCATATGCAAACCGTAAAAATAAGTACATATATAAACGTAGTGCTAAAACGCAGATATTTTATTTTAGTTAATTATAGACAATCAAAGTCAATTGAAGCCTATCTGATACTTTTGTCGCTCGTGTGACAGGTGTCTGTCTGCGTTGTGTATGTTTCTCAAAGAGGATGGCGGACGACGTCTTTCTTTCTTTTGGTCCTTGACCATATATTGAAATCTGTAGCATACAATCATACAACACAACAGCTGCATCAGCGAACATGAACTGCAGCATCTGCTCACTTAGGAGACCCGTTTATGGTAAAGACATGGGTGATGTGACTAATGTAGTGAAGCTTCTCGGGCTGCTTGAGGCCAACAAATAAATTTTAGGCTTGATTTTGTGGCTTGGCTTTTTTGATTAACAAAATGCGTTTAGAAACTATAACATTTGCAACAACAACGCAGGAAAGACGTTATAGCGTACAAA